AATCCATAGGGTTTAATATGATCTCAGTCCACACTTTATGTATTAGGGACAATTGCGATACCGCGAGTTACTCAGTGAGAGAAGGCCGTGAAGGCACCATGCATTCTGCTCCTCGCCGCCAGAGGGCAACAATGAGCTCAAGAGGTGGTGGTGGCAGCCGTGCGCGTGCTGCTTCATCAGGGCTGAGGAAGAGTCACAAGCCTCATGTGTCATGTGTCTTGCTCTGTGGCAGGCGGTCAGCTGACAAATCCGGCTCCTGTGTGATGTTTACTTTCTGTTTTCAGCGCGTTTATCTGCGTTTTTTCTGAATGAATGCGGCGCTATGCTTCGCCCAGGAGGACCATGGTAGTCGTGAACTCGGTGCTGAAGCTGGTGCAGAGGCAGACGTACACCTGTCTGTCCCACCGATACGGGCTGTACCTCTGCTTCGGGGGGATCGTGCTCATGATTGTTTCCGCCTTTCAGTTTGGGGAGGTGAGGTTTCTTCTCTTGTTTCAGCTCCTGTCTCTTACAAACAGCCGCTTCTGCTGTCGGGTTAGCTAGCGTTTACTTTCTCCTAACAGCTGTTTTCAGCACAGCACCTTCCCACCAGAGTCCACTAAAAATCGCTTGTTTAAGCAGATCTTCCTGAAAGTAAACAGAAATGTATTGCATGTCTTTAAACGACACGTCTCCCCAGACTGCCTCTGTTCTGTGTGTATTCTCCATTAAAACCACTACTGTAGCTCTATTTTAATTAAACTGCCTGCCCCTTTTTTTCAGATGTAGTTTAGATTTAGTTACACCAACTGCTACTTGATTTACGTTGAATATCAGATACTAAATCTCCCAAAATAATTCAGCACTGTAGTGTGCGTGTGATTTTAAAATCGTCAACTACACGGCGTGTTCTTCTGTCCATGCAGGTGGTGGTGGAGTGGAGTAGGGACCAGTATCATGTGCTGTTTGACTCCTACAGAGACAACGTGGGTGGGAAATCATTGTACTGCTAATGTATTACTGATAACCAGGTTGGG